CCAAAACCCAGGGTACTATTTGCAATCACTCAGCCTGCTAACAGAAACTCTGTCCCTCTTAACCCAGAAGGGCCCTAAGTTCTGAGGAACATCCCAAGTGGCTGTGGGTATCCTTGGCAAGTCTCCTAACCCCCTCCCTGAAGGCTGAAAATTGCTCAGTGTGGGGGATCCCATAGATCTTGGCAGGAGAGGTGGGGCTGCCAAGAACTGGTTCTTGTTTAAATATAAACCCATCAGATAATTAGCAAACAGTCTACTTCTAAAATAAACAAATAGAGAGAGATTTGGGTTCCCTCAGCCCCACCCTGGACTCTTCCCTTTCCACTCTGTGGAGTTAGAGATAGAGGAGAAAAGAAAGCTGTCTAGAATTCTGGGTAAGGAAAGGAAGTCATCAAAGGATGCCTACACTCTTCACTAGACACAATACCAGTGCTGGCGAACCTATGGCACGCATGCTGCAGTGGGTTATTTGCGTCAGTGAAAGCTCTTGAAGATTCACCATTGCTGTGCTATGCTGTACTATGCTATGCTTTGCTATGCTATGCACCGTTCTTTTCAGCTTTGTCATCTTTAAACCTCTCCACAAAGGCATCACAGTCTCCATCACCCAGTGGTGGAAATGGAACCTAGGACATCATGCATACTAGGCAAGCATCTAGTGCAGAGCTACATCCCCAGCCTGGTTTCAGATCTTCTTAACAGACCAGGAAGCTGAGCTCAAAAAGGCTGAATAACACATCCATAGTTATATTCTCAGCAAAAGATGGAATTAGATCTGCCCGACCAACATAGAACCAGTGTTTCAGCCCTCCAGGCAACACCAGGAAAAGGCGGCCTCAGAAACATCGCAGAATGAATCCTAAGTCAAATCAGCATTGAACTGTACCAACTCAGCTCTATGAATTCACACCAGTTGAAGCTTCAGTTTTGCTTTAAAGAGGGGGAAAAAATGTAAGACTTGCTTTGCAGAGGCCCAAAGCCTAATTTTGAAAAACAGCGGAACTCTTCAATATCAAAATCTATACAGGGGCAAGAGGCTGCCTTGCCAAGGAGCCTAGAACAAGTACTTCTCATATGTTCCCCGGGCGCAGGACATGAAGATGCTGATTTCCTAAGGACAAAATAAAAGTCTCACACTCATTCCAACACCCCCCAATAATGCTGAAAGGAAGTGGGTGACTCAGGCAGCTTACACCAGCCTGCAGTGATTCGTGTCCACCCATCCAATCCAGAAAGCTGAAGGACAGCTCCTCCTAACAGGGAGCTGGGGCTGGGAGCCCAGCCTGGCTTCTCCAGCTCCTCATTCAGGCCTCCTGGGCACTCAGCGTCCTTGGAAAAGCCCTCTGTTTCTAGGCACTGGAGATGGAAGGAGCTGAATATCTATCCCACTTTGCTTCTGAGCTGGGAAGTTGTTTAGACTTTCTACCACAGAGGCTACTAAGAAAGCTCTCTTTCCATTTTCAATATGCTCTCTGGGCAGGAAAGACCCTTAGAAGGCAAAGGTTCGATCTCCTTATTTTAAAATTGGAAACCCTAAGACCCAGACACAGGGCGTGTTTGTTCAAGGTCACCCATCAATATAGAGGAATCCAAGATAGCTACCATCAGACCCAGCAAATCTCATCTGGAATGTTCTCTGAGGACAATCAAACCAGATTATCTTGCACTATCATTCTGACCTGGTTCTGACCTTGGCAAGCCATGAGACATTCCTCAAAGTGTCAGTTTCCTATAAAAAGGAAATAAAAAAATAGCCATCTCACAGTGTTACTGGGAGACATTCATCATAACCTCAAGGCACCTTTCACAGTGAAGTTACGCATGAATTTATTCATTCATATAAACATTTCCTGAGTACTACAGGACAGATATTTCACTAAAACAAACAAAGCAGAGTTCCTGTCTTGAGGGGTTGGGGGTGTAGGGGTGGAATCTATTAATTCCCTGGAGGGAATGCCTTAGATGTCTTTATAGTTTCCACAGCTCCTTTTGAATAGTCAGCCCTTAATTATTAATCAAGTATCAGCAGTGGAAAAGGCTCTCCAAGCCAATCAGCTCAAATCCTTCATTTTACACATGGCAGATGTCAGACCAGGGAGGGCAATGGACCTTCCTCTAACCTCATGAAGTCCTCCAAACCATGGCTCAAATATTTTCCTGGGTGTTTGGTAACTCAGTAGGCTCCCAAGAAGTCCCAAGAGTTCTCACTGGCCACTCAACGGTCCGGTCCTAGAAGCCCCTGGACTTCCGCCCCAAATTCTGGGTAATCAAGAAGAGAATTCTCAGGCAGATCAGAAATATCTTTTAAGATGAAGTACATCTGGTGGGTAGGGGAACACTTCCCCAAAACTGCCTGGGCCTCGAGCCAACTCAGGGGCACAGCCCCCGGGCAGCAACACTTTTTGCCCACCCCCACTCCCAAAACAAGGGTGTCTTTAATTGGCCAGGAGGGAGTGGCAGGAAGGCAGATCAGGAGAATGCTCCCAGCTGGACAGGAAGAACTGGTTTAGGGTGGCAAACCCCAGCCAAACAGAGGAGAGGGCAGCTAGGTACTCAGCCTGGGTTCTTTCCCAAATCTTAAAGCACTAAGGAGAGAAGAGTGCCATCAAAGGGTAGGGCAGGACTTTGAATTAAACTTAAAACTTGGGGACAGGCCCTAGTAGCAATGAGAGGACTACTAGTCAGTTGTTTTGATGACCTCAATGCTCTCTGCTAGCCCAAGGTGGTACCATTTTATCACTCTCGGTTCCTTCATCTGGAAAGTGGATATAATATAATCTCCACATCCTAATTTTTGTGAAGATAAAATGGATCAGATCGGGTTTATGGAAAGTATTCAAACCAGGAATGGTGGTATGCACCTATAATCCCAAAAAATGGGGTGCTGAGGCAGAAGGATTAAAAGTTCCAGGCCAACCTGCACTACACAGTGAGAAACTGTTCAAAGAAAGAGACAGAAACAGAGACAGAAAGGAAAGGAAGAAAAAAAGAAAATGTAATCAATGAATCTTAACTGCTGTTAGCAAATTCCTTCCCCCTGGGTCTCATTTTCCCTACCTGAGAGGAGAAAAGGGCCAACTGGATCATCTCTCCAGGCTAAACCAAACATGACTTGGTCTGAGTTTTCCAGCCATAACCTGGGAGTCAGGGGAAATGAAAAGGGAATCCCTGTGCCTCAACTAGAAGCAAGAGGTTGGTGACATTAGTCAAGAAGGAAGAGCTAAGGTCAGACTGAAAGACTTGACACCTCTCTCAGGAAGCAGCTGCTCGGACTGACTTTTCCCCTGCTGATGGGCTGAAGAACTGGCACAACCCCCTCACAAGCCACATCCTTCCGACTTTCCCAGGGACACTCCTGTCTGTTCCTCCTCTCAAAGCACCTGCAGGCTCAGCAGTCCCAGAGCCTAGACCAGCATGTGGTTACTCCAGCCACCTCTTGGGTCCTTTCCTGTTTCTCCCGTACATGCTGCCAGTGTTCCTTCTGACGCCTCCCAACTCATTTAGAGCACTGTGCCAAGGAGGTAGAAGGTATGGGTTCTAGTTTTGGCTGAGCCACTAACTTTGCATAAAGACATCCTTGCTCTGGGGACATCATCAATTCACTGTGGACTTCTATTTCTTCCATTTTAGAAGTCCTTGAGGTTTTCCAGCCCCCAAACCTCTAGATGAATCTTCAGTTACTCAAGAACAGGACATAAGAGTAGCTTCTTGGGCCAGAAGTTAAGATAAACGCAGGAATTGAAAGCCTAGCTGTCCAATTGGTATCTGACTCAGACCTTATTAGTCAGCTGTGTGACCGTTGGCAATTTACTTCTCTAGCCTTGGGACCAGTTTATAAAGAGTGAACAGGCGGGTTGTTGCTGTTGATAGAGATACTAGAATAGAACCAGACACACCAAAAGCAGGCCTAAAACTGTGCTGGGGGCCACTGCTCAGGGTCTACTCATTTCTCAACAAGAGACTGCAGGCAGAATCGACTCTCTCCTAAACAAGTATAGAGGAAAAGGAGACCTAGGGCTTTCAATGGAATTATTGTAACATTAATGATTAAACTCCTGGGACTCATTCCCCCTAAAAACTGGGAGCAAAGAACACAAAGCCCAGGCTCTGGGGCAGATCATCTCTCCCAGCAGTCCCCACACCCCCACCTCTGCAGACAAGATCGCCTCTTTTCCCACTGCTGAGATGGAGCTCCAGGTGGCCTAGGGCTGAACATCCATGGACAGCGAAAAGGAAGTTTCTGTAGACTTTCTCCTCCAGCCCTCTTCACTTCATGCAAAGGGGTTGCCTCAATGTCCCCTGGGTGCAGCTCAACAGAAAGCGAAGGCTCCACTCTGGGCCAAGTGCTAAGCTTAAGCCATCCCTCTTTCTGCCCATAAAGATCAAAGTCCCAACTTTCTTGGGGCTCTAAAGAAGTAATAGTCATCTCCGGTTCCACTTCCCCCAAAGAATTTGTGCAGATGGGGAAAGTGAGACAGAGGAGCCAGGGAAACACAAAGTCAAAAAGGTAGGGCAGGGGCCAGAAGAGAGGTCAGGGCTCAGTTCTTCTCCGTGTGTAAGAAAGTGGTGTCCCTGCACGTCCCGAACCCCTCCCCCTCCTGAGCACGATCTGCCCCAGTCATCCCCGAGCCACCTCTGGAGCTGCCAGCCCTGCGCGCCTAAAGGGTGAGGTGGGGGATTCCGCGCTCAGAGCCGGCTGGGATCACAGCGAAAGGGCGAGGGTGTGGGAGGACGAGAGTTGACACCGGCTTAGTCACGTCGGAGCCCGGAGCCCGCGGCGGGACTGAGGCCAGGGGAGGCGGGAAGATCAACAGGCCGGGGCGCGGGACGCGCGCAGGAGCCACCCTGGGAACCTCCCCGCGACCCTGCCGCAAAGTTTCCAACGAAGTTTCTGAGGCTCGCCGTTCGGGAGGGAGCCGCGACGCGGCAATCCCAGCTCTCGGGAACAAAAGCGGCACCGGGCCCCTCGCACCTCCCCAAGAGTCCCCCCAAACACCCACCGACTCTGCGGTAGCGGCCGGGGTGCCGACGAGCAGCAGCAACAGGAGCGCGAGCGAGCGGGCGGGCGCCATGGTATAGCGGAGCTCGAGCGCGCGGACTGTGAGTGGCCCCGACCGAGCGCGGCCCTTCTTATAGGCGGCGCCCCGCCCCGCCCCCGGCCGCCCCGCCCCCGCCGCGGCCACCCGCACCCCGCCCGGAATTCCCCCGGAAAGCCTGACTTGCAGGGCCCTGCGCCTGCCCGCGGAGCTGGAAAACCCGGGGCGCTGGCCCTGTGCGCCCCAGAGAGCGCCAGGCCGACCCTAATCGCATCCTCTGGTACTCCAACCCGCTTGATTTATTTGACCCACACCTAGGCAGTCCTGGGGGATTACTGTGTCTAACCTCATTTCATCGTTGGGGAAACTGATACCCAAGAAGGACAAAGACTTTGCCCAGAGTGTTCCTTTAAAATCAGCCTTCAAATAAGGTATGTCCCCTCCTGAGAAGAGTTCGGAAGACTTTCCAAATGGGACATGAACATGGGTAGTTTTAAAACCAGGATCAGCAAACTTTGTAAGGGACTGTGTAGCTCAAGTTTTGCTGGCCTTGAAATCCCTGATTCACTCTCTTGGGTGTACAGCTCAGAAGCCCCCATGTGAAGACTGAAAGAAATGAGCCTGTCTCCATCCTAACAATGAATAGCATGTCATTTTTACGTGTCACTTTTTTTTTTTTTTTTTTTTTTTTTTTTTTTTTTTGAGACAGGGTCTCACTACATAATTCAGGATGGTCTTGAATCTACCTATGTAGCCCAGATTGGCCGTAAACTCATAGCAATCCTCCTGCCTCGGCCTCTGGAGTGCTGGGATTATAGTCAAGCGCCACTATGCCCAGTTCATGAAATATATTCTTTTGACTTTTCCCCCCAACCACTTAAAAATGTTTAAAAAGTCATTCTTAACAGCAGGCCAAGGCTGGGGACAGAGCTCAGAGGCATAGTGCCTGCCTGGCAAGTGTGAAGCCCTGAATTTGATTTCTGGTACAAACAAAACAAAACAAAACAACCAGCAGGCCAAGCAAAAATAGGCAATAGCAGCCAACTTTGGGCTTGAGGTGGCTGCTGTTTTAAGCAATTCCTTTTTCAGATCAGGAACTTTTTGAAAAGCCTAGTCTTAAACTGATCTGCAAGTTTAATTCCATGGTCAAGTCAGCTTCCACCAGAAAGTTGTTTCAAGTGGGTTTGGTGGCGCATTTCTGTATTCCCAGAATTCTAGGAGGCTGAGGCTGGAGGGTCACAAGTTCCAGCTCAGCCTGCCAATTCAGCGACTTGAATCTGTCTTTAAAAATAAGAAAGGGCTGGGGATGTAGCTCAGTATGAAGGCTCTGGATTCAATCCTCAGTGCTGAAAAGAGAGAAAGAGGGAAAGGAGGGAGGCAGGAGAGAGGGAAGAAGTTGTCCCCTTACTCCTCAGGTTCCTAACAGTGTGTTGGGGGAGTGGTAAATCTCCAAACCTCAAATATAGTTACTGTTGAAAATATTAGAAGATTACATGGGAGCATCCTGTGATGGTCAAAGTATCAAAATCTCCTAGCCCTGCCTCTCCCTAACACCTGTATGTTCTAATAGTATAACTTGGCTTTAGAACTAAGGTACAGAGCACACATCTGCAGTCTCCAACTCCTCCAAGGCTAAAACAGACAGATGACAATTTCAAGGCCAGACTGGGCAGTTTAGGAAGACTTGTCTCAAAATAAATATATAAATAAAAAGAGCTGTGAATGTAGCTCAGTGACAGAGTATTTCCCTGGGTTCAACTCACACTACCACAAAATAACAAAAATATTAACAATAATGAAATTCCAATCTAGGGTATGGGTTCATATACTACTTTGCTTCCTAGAGAATTAAAAGTGATTTCCCTTCAGCCCCTGAGCCCATCCAGCCAGTCCTGGGGATTGAATCCAAGGCTTTGCACTAGTCTCCAATCCTTTGTTAAATTTTGAGACGAGGTCCCAGACTGGACTCAAACTTTTGATCCTCCTGCCTCAGTCTCCTGAGCAGCTGGGATTACAGGCTTGCACCACCACCCTGCCTGATTTCTCTTCTTTTTTTTTTTAATTTTAAAGAGATTAAGATAAAAGAGGACATAACAAAGCAGATCAGAACAGAACAATTTAAGCAACACAGTATTTCACCACAAGACAACCCGATATAACAGTAGCTACCATAATGTCTTTCCTTGAAATAGTTGAGCATACCTTCATACCCAATACAATCAAACGTAACAAAATAGTATAAAACCATTAAAGAGAATGAAAATACTACAGGGAATTCAGAACCAAATAGCAGAAAATGAACAATGGTTACTATATTATCTCATTGTCCATAAAAAATTTTGTTTATACTACCACACGTGATAAAATCCAGTAAGATATTACATGATAGAACCAATGGAAACAGAAGAACAAAAGTATGGTAGTACTTCAAAGCAAGATGATATTAAATCAGCACTGGCTATTATAATGTCTTGTTTTCTTCAAAATAGCTGTTTATACCATCACAGATAATAAAATCAAACAAAACAGAATAAAACCATTCCAACTAATGAATGAAAACATTATAAGGCTTCAAAGCAATGTAATGGGGAATCATGATTACCATAAACTCTTATGTACTCTTACCATTTCTTATACTGGGAGACTTTGGTATTTATACATGTGAGTTTGATTTATTTTGCTTATGAGTATGGTCTCAAGTTGCATCCATTTATTTATAAATGTCTCAATGTGATCATTTTTTATAGCTGAGTAGTACTCCATCGTGTAAAAATACCACAACTTTTTTTTATCCATTCCTCAGTTGTTGGACACTTCGGTTGTTTCCAAGATCTGGGTATTACAAATTGTGCTGCTATAAACATGGGTGCACATATATCACTGTGGAATGATGTTTTGAGTTCTTCTGGGAACATGCCTAGAAGTGGAATAGCTAGAACAAATGGGACTTCCAATCCCAGCCTTTTGAGAAATCTCCAGATTGACCTTCACAGTGGTTGCACCAGTCTATACTCCCACCAACAGTGCAGGAGTGTTTCTTTTTCCCCACAGCCTCTCCAGCATTTATTGTTGGTGGTTTTCTTGATCCTGGCTATTCTTCCTGGAGTGAGATGGAATCTCAATGTGGTTTTAATTTGCATTTCTCTAATGACTAATGATGATGAACATTTTTTTCATGTGTTTATTTGCCATTTGTATTTCTTCATCTGAGAACTCTGTATTCATCTCAGATGCCCATATTTGGACTGATTTCTCTTCTTGGTTTTTTTTTTAAATGGGCTGGGTGCAGTGGTATACACCTGTAATCCCAGCAGTTTAAGAGGCTGAGGTAGGAGGCTCATTTTGAGATTGAGGCCAGTCTGGGCTACAAAGTGAGTTCAAGGCAGTCCTGAACTGCACAGTGGAAATTTGTTTCAAAAAGACAAAAAAATAGTCCTTTATGGCAAAGAGCCTTGAGAGTCATTCACCGAACAGGGAATTGGGAAGAGATGAGCTGCATCTCTACCACACAGATACACAACAGGCTTCAACAGAGCATAGATAATAAAATATATTGAGGTACGATAAGTTTAGGCTACTTATTTCCTTTGTTATTTGTTTGTCGAGTGCTATGATGGAGCCAGAGCCTGGCTCATGCTACACAAGTGCTTCTCCGCCGAGTTAAATACCTGAAGCCCTTCTTTATTTTAAATACAATTTATTAAATTCTAACTTTATGTAATTTAATTTTTGGTAATAGATGTGTTTAACAACCAGTTCAAAACATTCCTGAAAACTAATTCTGGTGAACCAGGGCAAGTTGATGCTAGCATCTCTAGCTTGACATTTATAAAAAAGGAAACTAGGAATAAAATTATTGCTAAACATATGTGCTTCTAATACAAGCAATATACTTCTACATTTAAGTGAACTAATTGGAGAGGAAAAATCATTCTATCCAAATCATTAAGACAGGCATTTCCAAAAAAATTTTCTTTCTCTGTTTAATAATTATTTCAGATTTTGTAGGACTAGTTTCATAAATGTATACTTAAATCAAGTGATTTAAGTGTGTGTAGTTTATCTGATGTCAGTTTTGCCTTAATAAAACAGTGTAAATCATGCTCAATTTGGCAGTACATATATTAAATTGCTGTAGGATTTATTAAAATCATATACTTTTATTGTTTTGACTGTGTACAATTATTTGATCAACAATAGTTGTAATGTTAGAAAAATTTAATATCTAGCCTTATGGTCAGAGAAAGTAAAATAATAATTCATTTTTCATTAATATTTGAAGTAAAGAAATAGACTTAGTTAACATGCTTAATCCTAAACACATAAAAATTATAATAAAATTTCATGGTGGTAAATCATGGAGTGCAGATTTGAATTCAAGTAGAAGAAATGATGTAAATAACTGTCTGTTAGAGAAGAGTCTGTTCATGTATTTTTTAAGTGGATGGCTGTAGTATCAAATTGCTAGGGCATTTAATTCAACAGCATACATTTAAAATTGATGTAACCATTTTACTTTTGCCTGTATGAATCTTCTCTTCACTGGAAATTGCAAGCTTCACAACTATTTAAACATTTAATGAAAAATATCAGGTGCTCAAAATAAAAGATAATAAGAAAAAGAAAAAAGGTGTTGTAATCTAGTTTGACAGTGTATCTAGAAGTATACCTTCACTTAGTACAACTGTCTTAGGTGTTTTATATATTCTTTGAACTACTAGTCTGGTTTTCAATCTGTAGGTATGAAAATTAACTTTATAAAGTGTTATAAAATAAATAAATGAATCTGATGCTGGAAAAATAAAATGAGGTGGAGGGAGGGAAAGAAGGAATTGAAATGTGTTATGTACAGGTACCAATCCCTAACAGTGAATGCAATCATCTTGTGCTGCAAATACAAAAACAAATAAATAAAGGTTTACTTAAAAATACACAGTTTTAAAATAATTTAAACCAGGCATGGTGGCACATGCCTACAATTCCAGCACTCGGGAGGCTGAGACAAGAAGACTGTCCCAAGTTTGAGGGCAGCCTGGGCTACCTAGTGAGTTCAAGGCCATCCTGTACTACATAGCGAGACTCTATCTCAAAAAAATTTTAAAAAATAATTTAGAAAGTATACTAGTAGAAAATGGCTATGTTTACAATTAAATGAAATCTTGTCTATAAAATTGTCCCAGTCCCCTGGAATTAAGGAGTTAATTTTCCCTTCTCCATGTTCTGAGAATCTCTCCAAAGACATGCAATATAGTTACCTTTAGATTTATAGGTGTTTTTGGTTTTGTTTGTTTGGTTTGGATGTTCATTTGTTTTTGAGATAGGGTCTCTTTATGTAATCAGACTCACCATCTTCCTGCCTCAGCCTCCTGAGTGCTGGGATTAAAAGCATACAAAGTACTCTGTGCCTCGGTTTCATCATTTGTAATGTGAGGGTCACTATAATTATTAACTTGATAAGAATATTGATAGTATCATGCTTACTAGAACCATACCTAGCACATACATGTTTTCTATGTTTATGATCAAAAAAATCTTCTTTGTAAGAGTTATTCCCTTCCCCAAGAGCTCCTCGCACATCATGTAATTATATCATTTTCAGCACAGCTGAAGGACTGGGTCATGGGACTCTCCCTTCCAGAATGGTGCTAACCCTCCTTGGTCTTCCTTGTGCCACACAAATCCTTCTCCATTCCTAGATAATAACATCTTGGACTTTTTAGACGCCATGGAATGTCCAGCCACTGCCTTGCATAACCACAGAAACTGGGAACACCATGCTCAGAAGGGTCCTCCCAGTCCATTCAGGACAACAATACCCCTATTATAGGGCACACAAACCAAGATCCACACAGTGAGTCAGTATCTACCTTAGGTGTTTTGAAAAATTCTAAAAATAATTCTTCCAATTACTCTTTCTATTGGTTTTGCTTAATTTTTTCTCATAACGTTTTCCTTACTGATCTCACATGCTTATCCTTTTAGTTGTTTGTCATCTGTTTCCCTTCTAGATGTGAGACTCTGGAAGGCAGGGATGCTATCTCACCCATACGCACACTCCTGGCACTTTGTTCATGTTGCTCAGTTAAAGCTTGCTGTATGGTACTGCAGATAAAAATTATGCCTATAGAAAATGAAGGGGAAGATCGTGTTTCATGAAAATTTACTGGTGCTCTTTCTATTGAGATAAAAAAATATAAAACCTTACATTCTAAGAACGGATGATCTTACTAATTCTTATGTCCAGGGACAGACTTACGTTCAGTAACCATATATTGACAAAGCATTACACTTCCTATTTGCAAAACCAACAGCTGTTTGAAATCACCAAAGAAATGCACTTTGCTAGCAGGGTTTGTTTTGTTTTGGGATTGTTTCTTTGTTTTTTATGGTGACACAACTGAAATTTTGGAAACTTGATTCTTGTTGCACACAAAATGAGTTAGCTTCTTGTGACACTTTCATGCTAAATAAAGCTGCACTAGCACTGGCCTCTTAGAATGTTTTTAGAAATGTGGACAAATGAACTACTTGCAACACTGAAAAGAATTTGCTGGAAGGATAATTGAGTGGCTGCCATGTGAGTTCCTTTCATTAGTGGCTCAGACATAGAAATCCATTCATTTAGTCATTTATCCAACAACCATGTGACAGGCTCTGAAGCAGTTCCCTGATTACTGGACAGTAACCCCCAGGTCCACGGTAGGCTAAGGATCTACTATAAGCCAGACTCTGAGATCAAAGCTGTACATGAATCTTCTGTACCTTAACTTGGCTCTTGTAATCACAAGGAAATATTCCTCTTAGAAATTCTTAAGAAAATGGGATCTACAAGTTATTACAAGAATCAGGAGGGCTGCAGACTAAAACTGAAAGCAAACTGTAAATACTGAGATGACTCCAGGGGTTGCTGCAGACGTATCTCCAGACGTTTGTGTGTGAGTGTAGAGGGGGCTAAGACAGGTGTACCTGGTAAATTATGTTTGTAACTTAGCCTGGACTTGAACTCACAGTGATCTTCTGTCTCAGTCTCCTGAGTGCTGGGATTACAGACATGCACCACCATTCCTAGGTTGATCTCTAGATTTTTAAACCTGCACAGTCTTTGAGAGTATCCCTTTTCCCCCTACATGTGTGTCTCCCTCTTTCACTAGGTTACTGGGTCTCTTGTTTATTCTGAATTTGAGGGTCAGCAAATCTGGTTGCCTTGGCCAATGGTCACACTTGTGCCCTGAGCACCAGTACGCTGAACCACTTTCTGAGGACCTAGTTAGCCTTTAGGGTGAACATCTAGTTTCTAGTATACCCTCTGCAAGAGGTATTTATTTAGCAGAGAGTATTACACATCATCCTCACCTTGGCCCCATCTCTATTCTACAGATGAGGAAACAGTCTAAGGTAGGAGGAGATCATACAGAGATAAAATAAGGCTGTTTCCGCAAACCCGCGATGGAAGCTGCTGCTGTTTGCAGCTGTGGTTTGGGGACTGCGAGTGAGACAGCAAAAGTTGGCCAGTACAAGATTAAAACCCAGGTTTCTCTGATTGCTTTTTGCCTTCCCATGCTATGCCACGGAACTTTCGCCCTGATTCCTACCAGCCACACACACACACACACACACACACACACACACACACACACACACACACACTTTTAATTATCCTGACTTCAGAAAAACAAGGAAGAGAATGTTGGAGATGGGGCTGGACAGTGTGACCCCTGAAAGCCTCCTGCACACCCAGCTCACAATTCCCTCCGCCTCACTATGAGTGCAGCTGGAGAAAGGCACAGATGATAACAAGTCTGATCATTCTGACAGTGGATCACGTTGCCAGGTGTGGTGGCACACACTGGTATAACCCCAGATACTTGGGAGACTGAGGCAGAAGGCAGAAGGCTGAGGCAGAAGGCACCCAGCCTGCATTTAGTTTCAGTCCAGCGGGCATTTAGTGAGATCTTGTCTCTAAATAAAACAAGGTTGGGAATATAGCTCAGTGGTACAGGCCCCCTGGGTACAACTCTTGTACGGAGAGAGAGACAGACAGACACCGAGAGACATACAGACAGAGACAGACAGAGCAACAGAGAAAGACAGAGAGGAAAGTAGAGGAAGAAGAAGAGGAGGAGGAGGAGGAAAAAAAGAGGAAGAGAAAGAGGAAGAGAAAGAGGGAGAGGGAGAGGGAGAAGGAGAAGGAGGAGGAGGAGAAGAAGAAGAAGAGGAGGAGGAAGAAGAAGAAAATAGAGGAAGAAGGGAAGAGGAAGAGGAAGAGTGCTATATAGTTTCTCAAAGAGAATTTGTCTATATTATTGCATTTGTATCCAAAAAGTTCTGTTAGTAACCAGGGTGGGTGCTATTGCAACCAGCTTACAGAGCGGTGTAGCGATCGGGTCTCACTAAACTGCTCAGATCGGCCTGGAACTGTGCTCCTCCAGACTCAGCCTCCATGTAGCTGGGATTACAGGCATGTGCCACCAAACCTGGCTAGAGAGCCCTGGATGGAGACCATCACGTGTGCGCTTTCCGAGCATTCTGCACTGCGCCATGTGATCCACATGGCACAGCGCCCAGGGCTTCAGTGCGGTGAGGACTGCAGGACACTGAACCTCTTGTTCACCAGAGCTGCTTTTTCCTTGAAGCTCTCCTGCTCCCTTCAGGTGCTCCTACTTGGTCCAGGATCTGCTCTAGGTGGGCAGAGTGCAGCTTTGTTTTGGATGCCACAGAAACCAGAACCAACAAGATCTGCTTGTCCCCAGCAGAAAGGTAACAGGGCAGTGCTGGCTCTGTCGTTGGACCTGTGTGCATCCAAGGTGATTCATCTCCTGAGTCTTGGCTCTCTGTTTTTTCCTACAATAAATGAGACACATTGCATAATGACCCGAGGGCTGTCACAAACACGTTTTTTCCTTTGCCTACCACGTCCTCCCCTGGGTTTCTCTGCTCATCTTTCAGGCTTCATTGAAATGCTACTTTCTCAGCGACACCTCCCCTAGGGCCAAGCTGTGTTCCTGCCCAGCTCCCTGCACAGCATTCACTATAATTCACACGGACACAACTGCTGCTTTGTTTTCTGGCTTATTGTACATTTCTTCTGCTAGACCGCAAGCTCCCTGAGGGGAAGGGGCATTTCTGCTGTACCATCATTCTGTACACCCAGAGCTGAGCAGTCAGCACTCAGTAGATATCTGTTAGCAGAGATAAGTGACCGAGGCAGTGACCTGCTCACATACAACTCCCTCCCAGACTCCTCTCCCAGTGCAAGCTGGACTTTCTCGGGCATGGGTTGGTGGCCTTAGCCACTCTTACCTTTGCCCATTCAGGTCCACCACACTGGCCTCGTTGTTATTGCATGAAAATGCCAATCCCATTCCTGCCTCACTTTGCACAGGCGTTTTCTATCTAGAATGTTCTTCTCAGATACTCAGTGGTTCTATGCTTTGCTCTAATCATGTCCCCGCTGAAATTCCACCTCTTCAGAGGTCTTTGCTGAATGCTAGGTGCCATTTCTGAAGTACTTTCTCTCCTTGTCCTCTCTCTCTTTCTCTCTCTCGGTTTTAAGACACAGGGCCTTGCTATGTAGTTCAGACTGGCCTCAAACTCACTCTGTAGCTGAACCTGGCTTCAAACTCAACAGTGATCCTCCTGCCTCAGCCTCCTGACCACTAGGATTACCAGCATACTCCATACCACACCTGGCATTTTGTAGGGGTTTGTTTGTGGTACTGAGGATCGAACCCAAGGTCACTGTACTACTTAGCTGTGTTCCCAGCCCCTTAAAATGATTTTTTTCATCTAAAAATAAATTAAAATAAAATTTTGGTGTAATCCCACCCCTTGGGAGGCTGAGGCAGGAAGACCACCATGAACTTGAGGCCAACCTGAGCTACATAGTGAGTTTAAGGCAAGCCTGAACTATAGAAGAAAATGTCTCAACATTTATAAAAAGAAAAGAAAAGAAAATAGAAGAGAAAAAAGAATCAGTGTCTTGTTATCCTCTTGTCTCAGCCTCCAAGTAGCTGGATTGCAGGCATGTGCTACCACACCTAGGTGGCTCACGTCTGGAGGTTAAATGTCACATTCACATTGCCTACTGACTTGTTTGTTTTTGTTTCCTTCATGAGGTCAATGTTCTTTCCCTTTATTCATTTGCTCATTTGTGTACATACACCTGGAGCAGTTTCTGGTGCAAAGTAAATGTGAATGCATGTGTATTGCATGAGAGAATGCACAGTGCAAGGAGAGGTGAAGAGAACAGCTTTCCTTCTTAAAACAAACCAAGTCTTTCAAAGTCAGAGTAAAGAATAATTTCTAATCAGACACAAGAATTTAACAAATGATGGAATCAGGAATCAAGTCGAGGGCAGGCCCCTGGGGGGAGGGAAGGGGGGAGGGAAGAGGGGAGGAGGAGGGGGAGGAAGAGGGAGGAGGGGGAGGAGGAGGGAGGAGGGAGAGGAAGAGGAGGGGGAGGAGGGGGAGGAGGAGGGAGGAGGGAGAAGAGGAGGAAAATCAAAAGTTTGAGAGCAACTTAGCAAGATTCTGCCTTGACCCTTTCCAGGTATCTTCCCAGAACAATTAAAAACGTCATACAACAGCAATATATATGCACCCATGTTTATAGCAGCACAATTTGTAATAGCTCTATCTTGGAAACAACCCAAATGTCCATCAACTGAGGAATGGATCGAAAGCATGTGCTCTTTTTATACAATGGAGTACTGTCCAGCCATAAAGAATGATAAGCTGGAGACTTTTATAGGTAAATGGATGCAAATTGAGTCAATACTCATAAGCGAAATAAATCAGACTCACATGTATAGACATCATATTGTCTTCCTAGTGTGAGAAGCTGAAAAAGTAAATAAGGTCTAAAGTGTACAATAGATACTATAAAATGCAAAGAAACTGTTCAAAAGGTAAACTTGGATGGGGGAAAGGAGAAAAAAAGAAAAGGAAAAGCAAAAAAAAGTATATATATACCCAAGATGGTTTAGATAGTTATACTACTAATTTCTCTTAGTTCATTGAAAAGAAAGGTTTGTGAAAAAAAAAAAATTAAAAAAAAAAAAAAAGAAAAGAAAGGTTTGTGATAATATTGTTTTGACAACTAAACACATATCCTGTACTCTGAGTTACTAAAGATACCAATATGCAGTGTATTAACCATTGTCACTCTTCTATTAGCCTGTTTTGAAATTTTGTTTTATGTCTTTTTTTCTTTAAAATAATTTTTTAAAAAAAGATTCTTCCTTGAAATAAGCACAGAAGAGCTGCAGACGCATCTCAGAGGTAGTGGCAGAAAAGAAAAAAGCTCAGAGAACTGGAAGGATGAGGCCATAGTTTAAGAAAAATGTCACTTTTCTTCTTGCTCTCCAGAGTGTCTTAGACCAATACCTGGAAAAGAGTCTTCTTTAGGAAAAACAGCACGATCTGCTCAGAGATCCTGCCATCATTCACCTTCTTTAGGGAGATGGTTTGCAGAAAACCACTGATGATTAGGCACAGAACACAGAAAATCAGTTCCTTGGTCAGTCCCTGATTCTGAAGAATAGGGTGCTTGGAGCAAATGCTCCAGGTGTATCTAAGTCTGGGGAGGGGAACAGGGCTGGGGATCACACTCAGGCACTGTATATGTTAGGCTGAGCTACTCCCAGGCCCTTGTTTGTGTTTTATTTTGTCTTGTTTTTCCTGTACTGCGGATTGAATCTGGGGCTTCACACTGAACTACACTCCCAGCCCTTTTTCAAATTTTGAGACGAGGTCTCACCAGTTGGCTAAATGGCACAGGATGTGCTGGAACTTTCCATCCTCCTGCCTCAATTTCCCAGATTTCTGGGAATACACGTGCACCCCATCACACCTGGCCCTTGTTTTTCTTAATTTTTATTATTCCTGCTGACAAGATCTACCACACCCCAGCTGGGTACTGTTTGTGAGTCACTTCCTCCTTTGAGCCTCAGTTATCTTATCTATAAAATGGGGAAAATGTTTCTGCCTAGCTCCCTGGGGCTGCTGGGACAATAAGGTGAGGTCATGTAGGTGAAAGCTGTCTGTAAACTGAAAGTCCACTGCATTTTATTGTGAAGAGGTATCTGTGCAGTCAGACTGAGCTGGCTCGGAGGTCAGCTCTGCCCACTCACTGGCAGTGTGGACTTGGGTAAATAGCATCCGTTCCTCATCTAAGTATGAATATTAGTATTATCTACAACTCACAGACTTGTTTTAGAAATTAAATAAGGTTTAAGCAAGATAACATAAGTGTCTAGGGGCCTGGGGATATGGCTTGGCGGCACAGTGCTTGCCTGGTAAGGAGAAAGTTCTGAGTTCAGCTCCTGACATCAATAAACAAACAAAAAAACAAAACTTAAGTGTCTAGGACACAGTCGGTACTCAGCAGCTATTTCTCCTCAAACACAGATACACACATACATAGGCCTTCGAGCAGTCTGGACAGCACAGTGGTCTCAGTCTAGAGGAGCAAACAGGCAGCCAATTAGTTCTTCTCTAGTTTCCATTCAAAGAGAAGAAATCACTGGCCAGAGTCCAGAAAGGTCACTGACGTGGAGAACAGAAAGCCAAATGCTAGTCTCCCACAGGGAGTTTCCAAAAAGTGTGAACACACAGTTGCATAATCTGTCCCTGATCCATGTGTCTGTTGAAATGTTTCAGTAAAATATTCCCCAAAAGGAAGTATGTAATCCGGGCAGTAAAGCGGTTTAAGAAAAGAAGAAGGAAGGGAGGGAGGAGGCTGGGGACTCTCGGAAGTGTGGGTGTGATTAGGAAAAGATGTATGTTGTTTACTGAGGTCCACTATGTGCCATGCAACATACTCACTCTGATCCCTAGTAAGATCCTTGTGATAGCTGGGGATGGTGGCTCATGCCTATAATCCCAGCTGCCTGGGTTTCATAGTGAGCTCAAGGCCAGCCTGTGTCAGCCAAGCAAGACCCTGTCAAAAGAAGAAAGAAAGAAAGAAAGAAAGAAAGAAAGAAAGAAAGAAAGAAAGAAAGTCACAATAAATAAATAAATAAGAACTAGCCTAAGGCAGAGTGCAAGACCATTCAACTAGTACAATACACACACACACAAATTTCTTGCTATAAATTTGAGCTCAGGTGCTGTATTTGTGCTCCCACATTCTAATGGAAGAAACAATAACAATAATTAATACTGCAAATATTTACATAGCACAGCTTATCAGGCAGTGGGCTAATCACACAATCATCAGGACAGCTGTGACACAGGTGCTGTGCTGATCTCCACTTTATAGGATAGAGAACCAGCTGAGATTGAGAAAAATTTACTATCTTCCCCAAAGTCATCCACCCAGCAAGACAGTAGAGGGAGGGTTTGATTCTAAGCAGGGCTCTGAAGCCCATGAAGTTATGTAGGAACATTTCCAAGAGAACCCTTGTGGAGGTGGATCAGAAAGGGATCCCAAGAGAAGACACTCCAGTATGAGAGTGATGTAAATGACCAAGTGATCAGAGGCACTCTGTCCCCATTCCCAGCAGGACAGTTTGTCCCAGCTAGTGGATGTTCGTCACTCTGCCTCTGACCTAAAGTTTAAAGTTTCATTCATGAGTTTACGAACTTGGCAGTGTGGGCAAGGCCCCTGGAGACCAGCTCTTCTAGTCTAACCCCCTCATATTGCAGATAAAAAAAAAGTCTCTGAAGCCCAGTGAGAGCCATGGACACACCAAGTTCACAGAAAAAAGTTTTGTGTTAAATGGAGGAGTTGTTTTGGGGTCAACTATAGCTCGTCTTGTTCTGCAGTTAACAAATGTGGTTGGTTCATTTGGGAAGCTCTTTAAATACACAAATTTTTTTGGCTGGTATGTAGCCAAGTCATAGAGCAGTTGCTAAGCGTGTGAGAAGCACTGCAGATATATTTATGTATCTATATAGGTATAGACATATCAGGTATCTGTACTCTGCTTTTGGAGATTTAGACTTAAGTTTGCAAACAGGCCTGAGAACCTGAATACATAGTAGGCACCCTGGATGGTTCAGATGGTACAGGGCCACGGGCTGCATTTGCAAGTTAGAATCCAATGCCCATTTTTTATTTTCCAGTTTAGGATACAAAGGACCAGTAAAGGACTTGCCCAAAGTCACAAAGGAAATCAATGAGGCTCTAGTTTAAAGCTTTGTGGTCTGAACAAGGGTTCCTGTGGTCAAACTTCATAATCAGGCCAAAGAGGCTCATCAAGGGAGCTGTGTGGTTTTCCCAGCTCTTGATTTCCTTCTTGTGCTCAAATTAAGAAACAGGCTGATACCACTTCCGGGGCCTTGCTAGATAGGAATGTAAAAGCCGAACTTCCAAAAGGAAAAGGAAACAAGATCTTGTCTCCCTATGGGGTTTCCCCCAGACAAGTCCTATGCTCCAGAAATGAGGTCAGACACCAGCTCTTCAGCTGGCCCTAGTGCAGCTAGCTCTGGGCTACATGTATTTTCTATTTCAAGAGGATGGGTTTGGGGCACCTTTCCTGTGGAGGTCAGATAAGGTAAAGAGCCAGGAACAGCCACACATTCCTGCACCTGAAAGGTATGGTTAGCACCTATTCACACCTGCCTTTTCCTAAACCTGCCCTTTTTCCTAAACCTCTCCTTAAACCTCACTCCCTAACCCTTCACCCCGGGGCTATTTAAGCAGGGGGAGTTTACTGCTGCTTCTTTTGTCACTACTATGCCATTACCTACTTCATTCTTTCCTTTCCTTTCTTTTCCTTTCCTTTCCTTCGTTCATTCTTTCCTTTTCTTTGGTAATAGGAATTGATGTTTGGAGTCACATGTCCTTGGTTCGAATCCCAGTTCGGCTTTCTATAAACTTTCAGACTTGAATAGAACCAAGCCCTTCTCTTAATATCAGTTTCCTCACCTAAAGGGGGATGATACCTACCTTCTTGGATTGTGGTTATTAAACAAGATCATACAGGTACTTACTAAGCAGAAAATACTTTCTCACAAATACTAGATCATGTGAATAATCAATAGATCAGAGGCATTTAAATATATATTTGTTGTACTGAATTGAAGTGCCTAAAAGAATAGGGGTTGGGTTAGAGACCAATTGAACTGAAAGCAAATAAGAAATCATTGGGCCTTAACTGCCAACCTGGACTACAAGTAAATTATAGTGTTTCCAAATGAGAATGGAAACCACAAACTTACTCTTGATAACGGATCAAGTTTCTTTTATCTGGAATTGTATCATTTCAAGACAATAACATGACTATTACATATCGTTCAGAAATTTTGCTTGGCAGTTTTATGACTCTGATAAATTTTTAACATGAAAAAATAATTAGTGGAAGGTAATTAAATGTTGGATAATATTAATCTTATTCAAATCCTCATTTCATTATCAGGAAAACTGAGATTTAAAGAAGGGCTTGCTAGTCAAACAGCTAGGAAGTTGTACACAGACTGTAAAATTCAGCCCCCGCCCCCCCCCCCCCCCCCCGCTAAAATCAATTACTTCTGGAAGGGGAACCTAACATCAATGAAGCTGAGGAATTTTGGCCTTCTGGAATAGGTATAAAATAAGTCATTAATTTGCTGTTGTCCTTTTTCTGTTCTTGACTTGCTCAGCAAATATTTACTGACAGTCCACTATTGGGACTCAGAGAAGGCAGAGATAGCATAATCATGGTGTCAGACAAAGTCACAATTTGACTTCTGGAGTGATTTTAGAACTTGTGGTCTTTTTCCATTGGATATCCATTTTTTGTTTTTTTAAAGGCAGGTCTCATTTTGTGGTTCTGGCTGACCTTGAGATTACTGTGAAGCCCAGACTGGCCTCAAACTCACAGTGATCCTCACCCTCCCAAGTGCTGGAATCACAGGTGCGAGCCACTCTGCCCAATCGGACACCCAAATTTTAAGCCACCTACTGCTCTCTCATCTAACATGGTTTCACTTTGTGGGAAGGGACTGTCTCATGTTGTTCTCACCTTCCCAGGACCCAGCTGCTGAGAAATCAACAGTTGTAGTGTTTGGAAACACCTGGATTCTAATACTGACTGTCCGCTTTCTCTGGGTCAATATATGGCTTCCCTTTGTTGACCCTTAATCATCTGTATAATAGATACAGAGGCAAAATAATATGTAGAAAAGCTTTTCAAAACCTTCACTAGGAAAAAAACAGGCAATTTAAATTGAAGATAGTCAACGTTTATCATCTGGTTAATATTCACATCTATTACCCTCGCCAGCGAGCCACAGCAGGCCGCCTGCCTGACCTCGCTAGTCACCGCCCTGCCCCGCCCCGCCCCCAATTTCCCTCTAGAGGGCATGCAAGCGCTACGGATTTTGTGCCTCGCTTCTGTTCGCCTTCATCCTTCATTCTGCGCATGTGCATACTCGTTTCCCCGCTGCCTAAGTCCTGTACGTAGTTTAAGGCTCGGGTGCACAAATTGCGCCTGCGCATTGTCAGCTCCGCCTTCCGCCGCCATCCCCGGAAACGCTTCCTTCTCACGTAGCTACCTCGGCTCTTCGGGTCGCGGGAATTTGCCTCTCTAGGCTGGTCGGGCCTCTTCTCCATGGTCCGGTCTGTTAACAGGGTTTTGAAAGCTAGCAGGTGAGGCCGGGCTAGGCGCGGACGCTGCATCCCCGAGTCAGTCACCGGTGAGTGAACCCCAGAGGAGTTGTTGTACGGTGGGGGCCGAACAGCAGAAATGGACCAGGTTTCCTTCCAATCTGGGAATGGTTTGTCTCTTCCGTCCTCCCCCCAACTCCTGGAATGGGCTCGCCCCTCGGTCCCAGTCCCTCCCCCCGGGCGGAGTGGCGTTGTCAAGGCGAAGACAGGCCAGGCTGGCTGGGGCCCAGCTTGTACGCTGTCCCCGCAGGTGGCTGGGCGATCGGGAGACCATGGCGCGGCGACGGTGAGGCTCGGGCAGTGGCCGGACCCCGCGGGCCAGTATGGCGGGCCAGTTCCGTAGCTACGTGTGGGACCCGTTGCTGATCCTGTCGCAGATTGTGCTCATGCAGACCGTCTATTATGGCTCGCTGGGTCTGTGGCTGGCGCTGGTGGATGCTCTAGTGCGAAGCAGCCCCTCGCTGGACCAGATGTTCGACGCCGAGGTAGGGTCACCCGGCTGGCGGGGGTGGGGTCTCGGTTCACGGTGTAGGCTGTTGTCTGACACTGCTGGAGTCTAGAACGAGCTCGACCACGTTCACGCTGTATGGGCCTACGAAAGGATTCCACTCTTACAAGCCTCAGAGGCCCCATCCATAAAATGGAAAGACTGGTAACAGGAAGATAAGTGCAAAGGGAAGGGTCTGCATGTTGTTTTAAACAAGCTTGCATTCCAGGCAACTCTTTCTTCTGTTTTCTGTGAATCTGGGGAAGCGACTTCTCTTCTTTAGCCCAGGTCCCTGCGTTCCATTCCAGGGATAGGTGTGGATCAAGGAGCATTCATGGGGTTGCAATGGAAGCTATCTGGGCTTTGAGATCAGACAGGCTTCCATTTAAGTTGGATTCTTTTTGCTGTATAACCTGGGGCAAGTGTTCTTACTTCTCTTACTGTTTTTCTGTATACAAAATCATGGGACTGGAAGCAGAGAAGTGGTGAACTGTGGTGCCAGAGATCCTGTGTTGAGGGTCCAATCCAGGCCTAAACACACTACTGTAATTGTGGGAATGTGAGCAAGTCACCTTTCTGAGCCTTTTCCCTCTTCTGGAAAGTGAACAGAAATTCTCTTCACCCTCAGTAAATCACCCTCAGTAAAATGTTATGAGGCTCAGAGGGACCTAGGAATAAAAAAGTACTGTATAAATTACAACAGGCCTAAAAGGTATTACGCCTGAGAGGCACCTGCAGCTAATGAACACAGCTGGTGGAGCCAGAAGATCTGGGATGGTGTCCTTGCTCTTGATGCTTATTCTTTGCATGGTGCCTGGGCAAGTTGTTATCTAACAAGAGGTGGTAGTAGTAACAGTAAAGGCTGTTGTAGATTTTGTAAGGATATTATGAAATTCTGGATGTCAAAGGCTTTTCTCTGTAAATTGGAAGTGTGGTGGAGATAATTGGTATTCTGTAACATCACCGAGGTAGTGAAGGTTGTGCGTACCCTAGTGCTTAATGGTAACCTTATAGGGGCTTCCTTTCTCCTAGGAAGGGCATATGGAAATTCTAGACTATGTTGGAAAACCATACACAACCTGAGATCTAGGCCAAAGTTCAACAGTACTTTTCTGAAGGTTGGGGGTGGTGAAGATTTTAGATCACAGCTACTCAGCTCTGCCATTGTAGTGCAAAACCAACCATATACAATAAGTAAGTGACTAGTTGTAGGGTATGTGCAATAAAACTTTGTTTACAAAAGCACGTGTCTGGTCAGTGGAGCCTTCTAGGCCTTACTCTTGCTATTTACTTACTGTATCATTTGGGCAGCTTAACTTGAGGTTTTATATCATCCTTCTCAAAATGAGAATACTACTACCCTTCCACCTATCATGAGGATTAAATGAAATACTACAATGGATGTTCATGAAAGTATCTTGGAGAGAGAGAGAGACCAGACAGGGAGATAAAGAAGGACACTTGTTGGAATTAGGAAGCCATACACATGAAGGGCCATTGTCATCTGTGTTCTGTGAAGGATGCTTGTACCATAGGAGGACTGCTGGGGTTCTGCAGCCTGGTATCCTTACTCTACCAGATCATATCTCCAGCGTATTTCCATTTGTGATTCTTCCTCAGATCCTGGGCTTTTCTACCCCTCCAGGCCGGCTTTCAATGATGTCCTTCATCCTCAATGCCCTCACCTGGTGAGTACCACTGGTTTTGCTATCTAGCTTTTTGGGCCTTAGAAATGGGACTTAGTAAATTCAGGCACAAGACAATTGATGCTTGTGCCTGGTCCTGATTAGTGGTAGATTAAAGTAGGTGGCTGAGGGGACTGGCTCTATCATGGGACTACTTTCATGGCTGTTTTGACTTAGCTGCAAAGCTCTTCTCTTACTATGTATGTGCTCCCTGCATGACAGCTTCCATCTCAGGTCACCTCCATCACAGATCACAGATATGTGGCATGAGGTGAGGAAAAGATCAGGCTGGAAGTCAGGAAGACTGGCTTGTAGTCTTGCTGCCTCTGCCATTAGTTGAATTACTTCCTTCCTCTCTGGCCTCAGGCTCCTTATCTATACACAAAGTGTTGGACTAGGTAGTGTCTAAAGTTACTCATAACCACTTCCTGTCTTTTGAGAAGCACTTTAGCATTAGTGATCAAAATGTCAGGCTGAGAAACACTCATTTGGCTTTCAATTTTGTTCTGTTAACTTTGGACAAGCCCCAGTTTTCTCATCAATAAAGTGGAGCTAGTAAGGTCATCTATATCATAGTTGTAAGGATTAAATATCAATTCACAGGAAGTACTTAGAGCAGTGCCTTGAGGATTAGTAATATTTTTGAGCTTAAAGTGAAGGTTGAAAATTGGGCTGATTTTACGTACATTTATCTCATATGTTCTCTTTACCTTATACAGATGTTAGTTCATGCATGAGTTTTGTTTTTGGTTTTGTATTTGTTTTTTGAGATAGGGTCTTAGTGTGCTTGCTGTGTAGCCTAGGCTGACCTTGAACTCGTGGCAATTCACCTGCTCAGCCTCCTCAGTGCTGGGATTGTAGATGTGTGCCACCATGCCTGACCGCATGCATTTTTTTTTTAATGTACAGAATGCTTCATAAATTTGCATGTCATTCTTGCACAAGGGCCATGCTAATATCTGTTTGTTGTTCCTTTTTTGTTGTTGTTTAAGTATATGTGCTGCCAAAGCAAATTATATATCATGCATGGTTTTTAAACATTTTTTCCCAGATAATTGAAAATCAGTATATTTTATAAAAGCACAAATTTCCGACTTCTCTTGAAAAATGGGAAGAATGATAGATATCAGGCTAACCTACTACCACGATAGGATTTGCCTAAATACTCTCTCCATTGTAACTTGTCTCCATTTGAACTAGAACCTGTATGCCTTGAGGGTATCCCACCAATCCTTAGCATTCCCTTCTGTCACACTTAATATTTATCATCAAGCTTGTACTTTTGTCTTGTTTTGCTCAGTCAAATTCACTCTTAACATTACCTGCCAGGTTTCTCTGGGCATCTAATTTTGTAATCCTTGCTTCATACTTCTCTCACTCACTTCTGAGTACTCTGCTGTCATCCTAACTGTCCCTACCACCCAAGTAATCTAATCCTAAGGCCGGGACAACCCAGTGACAACTCACTGCTATCCTCTCCCAACAGTGCCCTGGGCTTGCTGTACTTCATCCGGCGAGGGAAGCAGTGTCTGGATTTCACTGTTACTGTCCATTTCTTTCACCTCCTGGGCTGCTGGTTCTACAGCTCCCGTTTTCCCTCGGCGTTGACCTGGTGGCTGGTCCAAGCCGTGTGCATTGCACTCATGGCTGTCATCGGGGAGTACCTGTGTATGCGGACGGAGCTCAAGGAGATCCCCCTCAACTCAGCCCCTAAGTCTAATGTCTAGAATTGAGCCCTCTGGATGCTCTGCTGGCACTTGGGACCCCCAACACCTTGGGCTGCTCAGATCCTCCAGATGAGGTCTGGCCCAAGTCTGAGAGGAACCCTGGAGATACAAAATCTCTGTTGATGGAGACATAGCAAGGCCCTGCCAAGGAGGTAGCAGTCAGGATCACAGCTACAAGAATGGCCTTTGTCTCTGAAACCTTGAAATTGGAAGGTCAGGAAAGGGACCTCTTTGAGGCTAATAACAGATTTGGAATGATGTCACTCTTGAGCCATCATTTCGGTCACCAGCCAATGGTTTTTTTAGAAAAGAAAAGAATCAAGGATGTCTGATTGGGGAAAAAAATCAAGGATGTCCGATTGGAGCAAACCACTCTTCTAGTCCTGTTTACTCCCCTGGGACAGCTGTTGCCTTTGCCACGTTGCCGAACTACAGTGTTTCAATTTGGAGAAAAACTTGGATTCTAGATCCTTAACCACAGAAAGAATATAGGTGCAAAGTACCAGGGTGCTGTCAGCAAGAGAACAGCAGGTGGAGACTTCAAGCACAAGAAAAACAGACAACCTGTGCCCTATTACACACATACACGTGTGCACACAAGAATCCGTGACTAGCTTCTGTCCAGTCCCTCTGGTGGAGCCCCATCATGCTGCCACCTCTCAACATAACAGGCTGTAGATCCCAGAGAAGAACCCCAGCATGACTTCCAGTCTGACCCTCAAAACAGAGTCACTGCCTGTTCCCAGGCTCTTACTGGACCTCAGTTCTAGAAGGAGTTCCTTGTTCCTGTCTTATTTGGAATTCTCTGATGAGATGGGTCTAAGGGGTGTCCAGAAAGAAGAAGCTCAACTTTCCGGTCTGGGCTATGCTGGGGGAGATACAAATTTGCTGCTAAGTTTTTTCTTTGGGTAGAATTTCCTCTGTGAGGGCCTTGCAGCTGCCCTTCCTATATACATAAATATAGTATTTTCCACAGTTTTGCCTGTACTTACTTTGTAATGCTATGGGTTGGGACTAAGAAAGATCAGCACAGCCAGCAAGGGTGCTGTAAAGAGTTATGCCATATCCTTTTCTGAACCTAAAATTATTCTACATTTGGTTAAAATAGGTACTTGTATGGGGAACTTCTGTACTCTACTCCCTCTGCGCCTCCAATTAACCTCGTGACTGAGAGTCTTTTTCCCACTTGCCTGAGATTTCTGAACATGTGTGCATGAAGTTTAGATTCACTTCTGCTTTGGCTTTTCTGGATCCTGTCCAAGAGAGCTGTCAGTTTTCAGCTTTCAGTGTTACAGTTATGTAGATCAGTTTTTAACAGTTTTCCTCAGGAGCTTTTGTAGCATTCTGGCTCTGAACCCTGCAGAGTAGGGATTTGAGCCTAACAGGATAAAAGGTCTAAGAATGAATATATCAATGCAGAAGGAAGGTAGGAAGGTGCTACAGTGAGGTAGCTCAGTGATGCAGAATACTGTGATCAAGCTGCAAGGAAGCGCTTGCTACTGGAACATAGTATTTCTGGCTGCAGAGTCCAGGAGGTAAGAACCAAATGGGCCTGTGAGTTTCTTTCCTGTTAGACACTGCAAACTAGGGCCCTGTGACTAATTTGTTTGTTTTGAGACAGGATTTGACTATGCAATTCAGGCTGGCCTTGAACTTAACTATGTAGCCTAGGCTGGCCTTGAACTCATGGATCTTCCTGCCTCAGCCTCTCAAGTGCTGAGATTATAGGTGTGCACAACCATGCTTGTGCAAGGCCTGTGACTGTTTTAAACACCTCAGGACACTCATCTTGTGGCTACTCTCCCTTGATGTGACTGGAACACTTTAGAATTTCTTTTAAGGCATGGATGTTTGGTCTTGGGTCATACAAGTGAAGAGGAATTGTCTTAGGCCATCTATAACATATATAATGTATATAAGTAACAAAACTTCCTTTTATTTTTATATTTTTATTATAACATTAAAATGAAATATCACAAACCCAAGTTTAATAAGATTAACATGTCTACTTAATAACAAACACCTGTCTTAACAGAAGTAGGTTGAGATACCCTTATTGATAATCACTATTTTACCACATCCCAAAAGTGAGTGTGACATTAGATATTTGTGGGATTAGATTAGACTGTGTGGCAGACACGGGGCAGATTTCACACCTCACTGCACTATCCCCTACAGTGTTTGGTTGTCATCTCTGCAGGGCCATGTAACTGAATAATGAAGAATATCATTAAAAATCATGTAATGATGCTAAAATTTCATGATCTGGGAGGTTTCATGCAACTTATGTATGGTTGGTTGGAAACATAGCTTTAAGGGCTTGTGTGTTTTTCTTTGTATCTTCTATAGTGACAGATCTATGCCCCAAGTGTTAATTTAACTTAGAAACTGTCCAAAATAGAGGAATGAAGGCTTTTGTTTTTTGTTTTTCAACAATATAGTGACCAGGCCCAATGCCCCTTAAGATTTTCACAATTTTTAAAGTAACAAGAAATAGTTTCTAGAGTCCATTGAGTGCTGTGTCCAGAAGTGGACTAAGGGTGCTTACTGTATGTCATGTTTTTACAACAAATTCTGAAATAGGGAATAGCATCATCTGTTTCTGATATTGTTCTGTGGTACTTGGGATTGAACCAAGGCCTTTACACTGAGCTACGTATCCAGCCTTTTAAAATTTGTTTTCCTTTGGACAGGATCTCATTATGTAATTCAGGCTGACTTTGAACGCACTATGCAGCCAGACCAGCCATGAACTCATAGCAGTGCTCTTACCATAGCCTCCCAAGTGCTGGAATTACAGGTATGCACTGCTATGCCTGGCTTTTTATTTATCTCGAGACAGAATCTTACCAAGTTGCCCAGGCTAAGCTCAAACTTGTGATCCTCCTCCCTCAGCCTCAAGAATGCTGGGATTACAGATGTGCACTACTGTGCTTGGGCTGGATCATCTCTATTTTATAGATGAGGAAACTTTAAGGAACTTACCCAGCATTATTTGTAGGAGCTGGCAGCACCAGGATTTGGGTTAAGGTAGTGACATTTATAAGCTATTCTAAAGAGATTTATCAGTAAGTTATAAGCTCTGATTGGTTAAGAGCCTATCACTTTATGAGCATACCTTCTCATCCCACAGTATTGTTTAAGTACTGAGAATTGTTAGCACTTTATAACCATTTTGGTAAGTCCCCAACTTATGAACAAGTTCCATTCCAGGGGAATGTTTGTTAAGTAGGATGTGTTTATAAGTCTGACAAAGTGAGTCTCATACAGTACACC